ACCATTTGATGCTCTTTAATGGATTCGTGGGCTGTGGCACGTTATTCTTTGGCAGTTCCACCTTGGGTGACACAGGATCTGCAGGCAAAGGATAGAAATTAATTTATGTGGCGCTCCTTGGCTTAACTTAACTCTGTACTCACCCATTGCTGGCGTCATCACGGTGGCGAAGGCAGTGCACCCGGCGGTGGTGGTGGCATCATGGCCGGCGCCATTTTGGCGGTGGCGGCATTATGGCCGGCGCCATTTTGGCGGTGGCGGCATTATGGCCGGCGCCATTTTGGTGGTGGCGGCATTATGGCCGGCGCCATTTTGGTGGTGGCGGCGATATGGCCATGACCATGGCCGAGGGCGGCGGCGGCGGCGGTGGCTACACAGCTCCATTGGAGCCAGTCAGACCGGCCACCTTCTGGGCATCGGGTATGCTGCCCTCGGTGACCAGATGCTCGAGACGGGCCCGCTTCTGCTGCTCAATAAGCAACCGATGATACCGATCTACAAAAAGTTGTGAAAAATAACTGTCACTTTTCGATAATAGTAGTAAAAAAAAAATAGCTGGTCACAGCACAAAAAAGTTATGAAAAACAACACTAATTTTTCGATATTAAAGTAGTGAACATTAGCTGGTCACACTACAAAAAAGTTATGAAAAACGACACTAATTTTTCGATATTAAAGTAGTGAACCTTAGCTGGTCACACCTCCATGCTGCATATGGCGGCTCCATGTCAGCTGATCGTCGACCTTATTATTATTATTATTAACATACCTAACCATCCTCGCCGAACAGACGCACGGCGTGATCGAAGCGGGTCTTCATGTCCTGGAACTTGTCCTCCAGCTCCGCAAAGTGGACCGATGCCGAGGCGTGGAACTCCCGCATGAAGGGCAAAGTTCGATTGAACTCGATTTTGCGTGCCACATCCGCCAGGCCGGTGAGCAGCATCTGGATGTCCATGTCCATGTCCATCTCGCCCAGCGACACCTTGGAAGCCTCACGGGCATGCGGAATGTGATCCTCCAGCTCCAGTGGATCCTTGAATTTACTCTCGATTACCTGGACGAGATATTGCAGCAGGGTGGTGCCCTTGGCGGCACTGGACTTGGTGTCGGCCACGCGCCCTGCGGTTCATGTAGTTGTCTGTAGTATTTAAGAATGCACTTAAATAGTGAAAATAAATGAAAAAGTGAATGCATAGATTACCCATAGCCAGAATCAGCTCAAGGAGCTTTCGCAGACGTCGGGAACTAGCCACTACGCGGTACGCCTCTATTACACTGGCGATGCGGTGTATAAGATCGTTGACCGTCGGCATAAAGCGCTTCCTGTAGTGGAGACTCTTCAGCCTTTACTCGTAGTGGGGAATCCTGCCAGGACAAAAGAACAAATAGTTTAGTGACTGCCAAATCTCTTCGATGCCCTTCAAACCCACTTTGATATTTCGTAAAGGAAGCGATCGGCGCGGGCCAGTGACTCAATATCCTCTTTATGCTCATCCAACAGTGCATGTTTCTCCACCACGGGCGTAAACTTTAGCAGCTGCTCGTTGCTGTCCATCGAGAAAATGGCCCTAGAAGAGAAGAGATTAGTATTTGGAACCAGGACGTGACTAAAGCAACTCCTACTCGCTCATCTTCAGCTTGCTGAGCAGGACGGTGCAGTTCTGGGCCGGCGTCCATCGATCACTGAGAGCACCTTCTGCTTGGCTGGCTTGCCGCCAGTTGCCCGCAGATCCTCATCGGAGCTATCGGTGGCCTGTGGAAAGAGAAGAGAGCATTAAATAAAGGAAGGTCTTTCAGTGGAATCTCCCCTAGACACTCACCGATACCCCATTCTTTTGATAAGCCGACAAGAGCTTGTTTATCGACTCCAAATCCATGTTATACAGCTTGCTCTCGTCAAGCTCGCTCCCGACGGTGCCCTGGAGCTTGGCATCCGGCAGCTTGGACCATTTGATGCTCTTTAATGGATTCGTGGGCTGTGGCACGTTATTCTTTGGCAGTTCCACCTTGGGTGACACAGGATCTGCAGGCAAAGGATAGAAATTAATTTATGTGGCGCTCCTTGGCTTAACTTAACTCTGTACTCACCCATTGCTGGCGTCATCTACGGTGGCGAAGGCAGTGCACCCGGCGGTGGTGGTGGCATCATGGCCGGCGCCATTTTGGCGGTGGCGGCATTATGGCCGGCGCCATTTTGGCGGTGGCGGCATTATGGCCGGCGCCATTTTGGTGGTGGCGGCATTATGGCCGGCGCCATTTTGGTGGTGGCGGCGATATGGCCATGACCATGGCCGAGGGCGGCGGCGGCGGCGGTGGCTACACAGCTCCATTGGAGCCAGTCAGACCGGCCACCTTCTGGGCATCGGGTATGCTGCCCTCGGTGACCAGATGCTCGAGACGGGCCCGCTTCTGCTGCTCAATAAGCAACCGATGATACCGATCTACAAAAAGTTGTGAAAAATAACTGTCACTTTTCGATAATAGTAGTAAAAAAAAATAGCTGGTCACAGCACAAAAAAGTTATGAAAAACAACACTAATTTTTCGATATTAAAGTAGTGAACATTAGCTGGTCACACTACAAAAAGTTATGAAAAACGACACTAATTTTTCGATATTAAAGTAGTGAACCTTAGCTGGTCACACCTCCATGCTGCATATGGCGGCTCCATGTCAGCTGATCGTCGACCTTATTATTATTATTATTAACATACCTAACCATCCTCGCCGAACAGACGCACGGCGTGATCGAAGCGGGTCTTCATGTCCTGGAACTTGTCCTCCAGCTCCGCAAAGTGGACCGATGCCGAGGCGTGGAACTCCCGCATGAAGGGCAAAGTTCGATTGAACTCGATTTGCGTGCCACATCCGCCAGGCCGGTGAGCAGCATCTGGATGTCCATGTCCATGTCCATCTCGCCCAGCGACACCTTGGAAGCCTCACGGGCATGCGGAATGTGATCCTCCAGCTCCAGTGGATCCTTGAATTTACTCTCGATTACCTGGACGAGATATTGCAGCAGGGTGGTGCCCTTGGCGGCACTGGACTTGGTGTCGGCCACGCGCCCTGCGGTTCATGTAGTTGTCTGTAGTATTTAAGAATGCACTTAAATAGTGAAAATAAATGAAAAAGTGAATGCATAGATTACCCATAGCCAGAATCAGCTCAAGGAGCTTTCGCAGACGTCGGGAACTAGCCACTACGCGGTACGCCTCTATTACACTGGCGATGCGGTGTATAAGATCGTTGACCGTCGGCATAAAGCGCTTCCTGTAGTGGAGACTCTTCAGCCTTTACTCGTAGTGGGGAATCCTGCCAGGACAAAAGAACAAATAGTTTAGTGACTGCCAAATCTCTTCGATGCCCTTCAAACCCACTTTGATATTTCGTAAAGGAAGCGATCGGCGCGGGCCAGTGACTCAATATCCTCTTTATGCTCATCCAACAGTGCATGTTTCTCCACCACGGGCGTAAACTTTAGCAGCTGCTCGTTGCTGTCCATCGAGAAAATGGCCCTAGAAGAGAAGAGATTAGTATTTGGAACCAGGACGTGACTAAAGCAACTCCTACTCGCTCATCTTCAGCTTGCTGAGCAGGACGGTGCAGTTCTGGGCCGGCGTCCATCGATCACTGAGAGCACCTTCTGCTTGGCTGGCTTGCCGCCAGTTGCCCGCAGATCCTCATCGGAGCTATCGGTGGCCTGTGGAAAGAGAAGAGAGCATTAAATAAAGGAAGGTCTTTCAGTGGAATCTCCCCTAGACACTCACCGATACCCCATTCTTTTGATAAGCCGACAAGAGCTTGTTTATCGACTCCAAATCCATGTTATACAGCTTGCTCTCGTCAAGCTCGCTCCCGACGGTGCCCTGGAGCTTGGCATCCGGCAGCTTGGACCATTTGATGCTCTTTAATGGATTCGTGGGCTGTGGCACGTTATCTTTGGCAGTTCCACCTTGGGTGACACAGGATCTGCAGGCAAAGGATAGAAATTAATTTATGTGGCGCTCCTTGGCTTAACTTAACTCTGTACTCACCCATTGCTGGCGTCATCACGGTGGCGAAGGCAGTGCACCCGGCGGTGGTGGTGGCATCATGGCCGGCGCCATTTTGGCGGTGGCGGCATTATGGCCGGCGCCATTTTGGCGGTGGCGGCATTATGGCCGGCGCCATTTTGGTGGTGGCGGCATTATGGCCGGCGCCATTTTGGTGGTGGCGGCGATATGGCCATGACCATGGCCGAGGGCGGCGGCGGCGGCGGTGGCTACACAGCTCCATTGAGCCAGTCAGACCGGCCACCTTCTGGGCATCGGGTATGCTGCCCTCGGTGACCAGATGCTCGAGACGGGCCCGCTTCTGCTGCTCAATAAGCAACCGATGATACCGATCTACAAAAAGTTGTGAAAAATAACTGTCACTTTTCGATAATAGTAGTAAAAAAAAAATAGCTGGTCACAGCACAAAAAGTTATGAAAAACAACACTAATTTTCGATATTAAAGTAGTGAACATTAGCTGGTCACACTACAAAAAAGTTATGAAAAACGACACTAATTTTTCGATATTAAAGTAGTGAACCTTAGCTGGTCACACCTCCATGCTGCATATGGCGGCTCCATGTCAGCTGATCGTCGACCTTATTATTATTATTATTAACATACCTAACCATCCTCGCCGAACAGACGCACGGCGTGATCGAAGCGGGTCTTCATGTCCTGGAACTTGTCCTCCAGCTCCGCAAAGTGGACCGATGCCGAGGCGTGGAACTCCCGCATGAAGGGCAAAGTTCGATTGAACTCGATTTTGCGTGCCACATCCGCCAGGCCGGTGAGCAGCATCTGGATGTCCATGTCCAGTCCATCTCGCCCAGCGACACCTTGGAAGCCTCACGGGCATGCGGAATGTGATCCTCCAGCTCCAGTGGATCCTTGAATTTACTCTCGATTACCTGGACGAGATATTGCAGCAGGGTGGTGCCCTTGGCGGCACTGGACTTGGTGTCGGCCACGCGCCCTGCGGTTCATGTAGTTGTCTGTAGTATTTAAGAATGCACTTAAATAGTGAAAATAAATGAAAAAGTGAATGCATAGATTACCCATAGCCAGAATCAGCTCAAGGAGCTTTCGCAGACGTCGGGAACTAGCCACTACGCGGTACGCCTCTATTACACTGGCGATGCGGTGTATAAGATCGTTGACCGTCGGCATAAAGCGCTTCCTGTAGTGGAGACTCTTCAGCCTTTACTCGTAGTGGGGAATCCTGCCAGGACAAAAGAACAAATAGTTTAGTGACTGCCAAATCTCTTCGATGCCCTTCAAACCCACTTTGATATTTCGTAAAGGAAGCGATCGGCGCGGGCCAGTGACTCAATATCCTCTTTATGCTCATCCAACAGTGCATGTTTCTCCACCACGGGCGTAAACTTTAGCAGCTGCTCGTTGCTGTCCATCGAGAAAATGGCCCTAGAAGAGAAGAGATTAGTATTTGGAACCAGGACGTGACTAAAGCAACTCCTACTCGCTCATCTTCAGCTTGCTGAGCAGGACGGTGCAGTTCTGGGCCGGCGTCCATCGATCACTGAGAGCACCTTCTGCTTGGCTGGCTTGCCGCCAGTTGCCCGCAGATCCTCATCGGAGCTATCGGTGGCCTGTGGAAAGAGAAGAGAGCATTAAATAAAGGAAGGTCTTTCAGTGGAATCTCCCCTAGACACTCACCGATACCCCATTCTTTTGATAAGCCGACAAGAGCTTGTTTATCGACTCCAAATCCATGTTATACAGCTTGCTCTCGTCAAGCTCGCTCCCGACGGTGCCCTGGAGCTTGGCATCCGGCAGCTTGGACCATTTGATGCTCTTTAATGGATTCGTGGGCTGTGGCACGTTATTCTTTGGCAGTTCCACCTTGGGTGACACAGGATCTGCAGGCAAAGGATAGAAATTAATTTATGTGGCGCTCCTTGGCTTAACTTAACTCTGTACTCACCCATTGCTGGCGTCATCCACGGTGGCGAAGGCAGTGCACCCGGCGGTGGTGGTGGCATCATGGCCGGCGCCATTTTGGCGGTGGGATATGGCGGCGCCATTTGGCGGTGGCGGCATTATGGCCGGCGCCATTTTGGTGGTGGCGGCATTATGGCCGGCGCCATTTTGGTGGTGGCGGCGATATGGCCATGACCATGGCCGAGGGCGGCGGCGGCGGCGGTGGCTGCACAGCTCCATTGCAGCCAGTCAGACCGGCCACCTTCTGGGCATCGGGTATGCTGCCCTCGGTGACCAGATGCTCGAGACGGGCCCGCTTCTGCTGCTCAATAAGCAACCGATGATACCGATCTACAAAAAGTTGTGAAAAATAACTGTCACTTTTCGATAATAGTAGTAAAAAAAAAATAGCTGGTCACAGCACAAAAAGTTATGAAAAACAACACTAATTTTTCGATATTAAAGTAGTGAACATTAGCTGGTCACACTACAAAAAGTTATGAAAAACGACACTAATTTTTCGATATTAAAGTAGTGAACCTTAGCTGGTCACACCTCCATGCTGCATATGGCGGCTCCATGTCAGCTGATCGTCGACCTTATTATTATTATTATTAACATACCTAACCATCCTCGCCGAACAGACGCACGGCGTGATCGAAGCGGGTCTTCATGTCCTGGAACTTGTCCTCCAGCTCCGCAAAGTGGACCGATGCCGAGGCGTGGAACTCCCGCATGAAGGGCAAAGTTCGATTGAACTCGATTTTGCGTGCCACATCCGCCAGGCCGGTGAGCAGCATCTGGATGTCCATGTCCATGTCCATCTCGCCCAGCGACACCTTGGAAGCCTCACGGGCATGCGGAATGTGATCCTCCAGCTCCAGTGGATCCTTGAATTTACTCTCGATTACCTGGACGAGATATTGCAGCAGGGTGGTGCCCTTGCGGCACTGGACTTGGTGTCGGCCACGCGCCCTGCGGTTCATGTAGTTGTCTGTAGTATTTAAGAATGCACTTAAATAGTGAAAATAAATGAAAAAGTGAATGCATAGATTACCCATAGCCAGAATCAGCTCAAGGAGCTTTCGCAGACGTCGGGAACTAGCCACTACGCGGTACGCCTCTATTACACTGGCGATGCGGTGTATAAGATCGTTGACCGTCGGCATAAAGCGCTTCCTGTAGTGGAGACTCTTCAGCCTTTACTCGTAGTGGGGAATCCTGCCAGGACAAAAGAACAAATAGTTTAGTGACTGCCAAATCTCTTCGATGCCCTTCAAACCCACTTTGATATTTCGTAAAGGAAGCGATCGGCGCGGGCCAGTGACTCAATATCCTCTTTATGCTCATCCAACAGTGCATGTTTCTCCACCACGGGCGTAAACTTTAGCAGCTGCTCGTTGCTGTCCATCGAGAAAATGGCCCTAGAAGAGAAGAGATTAGTATTTGGAACCAGGACGTGACTAAAGCAACTCCTACTCGCTCATCTTCAGCTTGCTGAGCAGGACGGTGCAGTTCTGGGCCGGCGTCCATCGATCACTGAGAGCACCTTCTGCTTGGCTGGCTTGCCGCCAGTTGCCCGCAGATCCTCATCGGAGCTATCGGTGGCCTGTGGAAAGAGAAGAGAGCATTAAATAAAGGAAGGTCTTTCAGTGGAATCTCCCCTAGACACTCACCGATACCCCATTCTTTTGATAAGCCGACAAGAGCTTGTTTATCGACTCCAAATCCATGTTATACAGCTTGCTCTCGTCAAGCTCGCTCCCGACGGTGCCCTGGAGCTTGGCATCCGGCAGCTTGGACCATTTGATGCTCTTTAATGGATTCGTGGGCTGTGGCACGTTATTCTTTGGCAGTTCCACCTTGGGTGACACAGGATCTGCAGGCAAAGGATAGAAATTAATTTATGTGGCGCTCCTTGGCTTAACTTAACTCTGTACTCACCCATTGCTGGCGTCATCCACGGTGGCGAAGGCAGTGCACCCGGCGGTGGTGGTGGCATCATGGCCGGCGCCATTTTGGCGGTGGCGGCATTATGGCCGGCGCCATTTTGGCGGTGGCGGCATTATGGCGGCGCCATTTTGGTGGTGGCGGCATTATGGCCGGCGCCATTTTGGTGGTGGCGGCGATATGGCCATGACCATGGCCGAGGGCGGCGGCGGCGGCGGTGGCTCACAGCTCCATTGCAGCCAGTCAGACCGGCCACCTTCTGGGCATCGGGTATGCTGCCCTCGGTGACCAGATGCTCGAGACGGGCCCGCTTCTGCTGCTCAATAAGCAACCGATGATACCGATCTACAAAAAGTTGTGAAAAATAACTGTCACTTTTCGATAATAGTAGTAAAAAAAAAATAGCTGGTCACAGCACAAAAAAGTTATGAAAAACAACACTAATTTTTCGATATTAAAGTAGTGAACATTAGCTGGTCACACTACAAAAAAGTTATGAAAAACGACACTAATTTTTCGATATTAAAGTAGTGAACCTTAGCTGGTCACACCTCCATGCTGCATATGGCGGCTCCATGTCAGCTGATCGTCGACCTTATTATTATTATTATTAACATACCTAACCATCCTCGCCGAACAGACGCACGGCGTGATCGAAGCGGGTCTTCATGTCCTGGAACTTGTCCTCCAGCTCCGCAAAGTGGACCGATGCCGAGGCGTGGAACTCCCGCATGAAGGGCAAAGTTCGATTGAACTCGATTTTGCGTGCCACATCCGCCAGGCCGGTGAGCAGCATCTGGATGTCCATGTCCATGTCCATCTCGCCCAGCGACACCTTGGAAGCCTCACGGGCATGCGGAATGTGATCCTCCAGCTCCAGTGGATCCTTGAATTTACTCTCGATTACCTGGACGAGATATTGCAGCAGGGTGGTGCCCTTGGCGGCACTGGACTTGGTGTCGGCCACGCGCCCTGCGGTTCATGTAGTTGTCTGTAGTATTTAAGAATGCACTTAAATAGTGAAAATAAATGAAAAAGTGAATGCATAGATTACCCATAGCCAGAATCAGCTCAAGGAGCTTTCGCAGACGTCGGGAACTAGCCACTACGCGGTACGCCTCTATTACACTGGCGATGCGGTGTATAAGATCGTTGACCGTCGGCATAAAGCGCTTCCTGTAGTGGAGACTCTTCAGCCTTTACTCGTAGTGGGGAATCCTGCCAGGACAAAAGAACAAATAGTTTAGTGACTGCCAAATCTCTTCGATGCCCTTCAAACCCACTTTGATATTTCGTAAAGGAAGCGATCGGCGCGGGCCAGTGACTCAATATCCTCTTTATGCTCATCCAACAGTGCATGTTTCTCCACCACGGGCGTAAACTTTAGCAGCTGCTCGTTGCTGTCCATCGAGAAAATGGCCCTAGAAGAGAAGAGATTAGTATTTGGAACCAGGACGTGACTAAAGCAACTCCTACTCGCTCATCTTCAGCTTGCTGAGCAGGACGGTGCAGTTCTGGGCCGGCGTCCATCGATCACTGAGAGCACCTTCTGCTTGGCTGGCTTGCCGCCAGTTGCCCGCAGATCCTCATCGGAGCTATCGGTGGCCTGTGGAAAGAGAAGAGAGCATTAAATAAAGGAAGGTCTTTCAGTGGAATCTCCCCTAGACACTCACCGATACCCCATTCTTTTGATAAGCCGACAAGAGCTTGTTTATCGACTCCAAATCCATGTTATACAGCTTGCTCTCGTCAAGCTCGCTCCCGACGGTGCCCTGGAGCTTGGCATCCGGCAGCTTGGACCATTTGATGCTCTTTAATGGATTCGTGGGCTGTGGCACGTTATTCTTTGGCAGTTCCACCTTGGGTGACACAGGATCTGCAGGCAAAGGATAGAAATTAATTTATGTGGCGCTCCTTGGCTTAACTTAACTCTGTACTCACCCATTGCTGGCGTCATCTACGGTGGCGAAGGCAGTGCACCCGGCGGTGGTGGTGGCATCATGGCCGGCGCCATTTTGGCGGTGGCGGCATTATGGCCGGCGCCATTTTGGCGGTGGCGGCATTATGGCCGGCGCCATTTTGGTGGTGGCGGCATTATGGCCGGCGCCATTTTGGTGGTGGCGGCGATATGGCCATGACCATGGCCGAGGGCGGCGGCGGCGGCGGTGGCTACACAGCTCCATTGGAGCCAGTCAGACCGGCCACCTTCTGGGCATCGGGTATGCTGCCCTCGGTGACCAGATGCTCGAGACGGGCCCGCTTCTGCTGCTCAATAAGCAACCGATGATACCGATCTACAAAAGTTGTGAAAAATAACTGTCACTTTTCGATAATAGTAGTAAAAAAAAAATAGCTGGTCACAGCACAAAAAAGTTATGAAAAACAACACTAATTTTTCGATATTAAAGTAGTGAACATTAGCTGGTCACACTACAAAAAGTTATGAAAAACGACACTAATTTTTCGATATTAAAGTAGTGAACCTTAGCTGGTCACACCTCCATGCTGCATATGGCGGCTCCATGTCAGCTGATCGTCGACCTTATTATTATTATTATTAACATACCTAACCATCCTCGCCGAACAGACGCACGGCGTGATCGAAGCGGGTCT